TAAATCACAGATCAGTCAGAACAGCGTTACAGTAAGAGTCTTTAAAATGTATCACAGAACTGATCTCTAAGTATCTCTCTTTGGATGCATGCACCCATTTACTACAGGCATCAGGGTTCATGTCAGACTTCATGCCAGAAAAGTACCATTTCTGATGGTTAGGAGTGCTTTAGTGACCTGATTGGCTTGGGAGCTCCCAAGTGTATTGGTGGAGAACACTTTTGATGCTAGGTGAGTCATGGAGGCGTGATCTGGGGTAAAAATCTGATCCTTTGCCTGTTTCTCTCTGACATTGTTCCACTGCTCTGCTTCCTGGTTGCTTGTGAGCTAAGCAGATTTGCCATACCACATGCGTCTGCCTTGACGCTTCTGGACTGGAGCCAGAAAGCCATGGGCTCAATATCTTTACCACGAGATAAATTTCTCTCTTTCTTTAAGTTATGAGTGTGTAGTTGAGTGGAGCAGTTGGAAAGCTAACAATCATTGTTTTCAATAATTCTCGATCTTTCTACTATACATTTTTGTATTGAAAATATAACCCCATTTTATATATTTCAACTAGGTACATTATTGTAATTACAAGAAGATTGTCACATATTTTAGAGACTATGGATGAAAAACCTCCTTGGGGTTTGTGTTACATCAGTAAAAGAAATGGAATAAAAGAGCTGAATTTCCTACTGCTCCCAGGTAAAAAGGAAAAAATATTTCCTAAACTCCTTATTTGCAATAAAATGGTGTCATACTTATTTATACACATAATGAAGGGATGGCGTGGGACAATATATGAAAGCATGACGGACAGACATTGCAAGTTTATCTAGATCCATTCCTTTCCTCTCACCGAATAGACTTATGGTTTTAAAAACACCTATATGATATTTTAAGTAAGGGAAATAAATGAGAAAACAAACACTTTCCTCTCTTTAAGCACACATTTATTTTACTCAGATGTAACATATGTTATGTTAAATATTAGATTTTATTTTAGCAGCACTGCTCCAGCAACAATTCTAACATGTGGTGGTGCATTTTAATTTTTATGTGCCAGTTTACAACTATGTCAGCATCTGCTGTGTGTAAACAGTGTAATTGGCACCAGGTAAGTGTGAGTGTGTAGCTGTTTATTGTTCTCTGAGAGGAAAATGGAGGTGGCGTACTGCTGCATAGAAAAACGTATATGGCTTTTAAATATTGGAAAATATTATAACCTGGGAAATACCAGGCTATAGTATCCATGAATTCCAAATGTGCTGCCAGAAAAATAGATATTTTCTATCAAGAGAAAATTAGATTACCTGGCAATCTCTTATTTTGCGATAGAAAATAACAAAACAATAATGAGTGTAGAAAATGTGTATATTTACAATGCTAATTTTTTGCCATAGCTTTGGTTGCAGGAGATACATTTATTTTCCTAAGACTGTAAGATCTGAAGGCTTTTCTGGGGATCATCACATCCATATTTCTGACTTGCAGAAGGCCTGTATCCATGAAACAAACCACTTAATCTCACAGCTGAAGTCACATCTCACAATCATGTTGGACTGACCTAGGAAGTCTCTCAAAAACCACTCTGCTTTGGGTAGAGTACCAGAAAGCACCAGAAAGCTGTGTCTATTCAAAGGTCCTCTCATGCTATTATGACATTATGTCATATCTGTTTGTGGATAATTCATTTTCATAGTATTTTTAAACCAATTTTATGACTAATTTTGTGAACGAAGACATTTTTAAATAGTCTTATCATAGCTGACCTCAGAGTATGGCTTCTTTGGCCCTTAGTGCTGGCAAAAGCAGTGGCATATGAAAGGGGCTCATGGTGCCAAAGCTGTGCAGGACTGCGAGCTTAGTAAACACCACACTCACTGCCTCCCCCCCCCCACTTGCATCCCTGCCTCAACTTACACCTGCTCTCCCTTCAAAGAGAAAAAGATTTTATGTAATAAAGTGCTAAGAAAACTCCAAGGCTATAGACTGCTGCAATTAAATTGAATTATATGTGGTTTCGGGCCAGAAAGGTTAAAGAGTGATAGATTTTTAATAGCGTACAATATTTGGATTTCTTTCCTGTGAAAATTTGCAGTGTGAACTGCTGACCCCGCATTTATCCCCTGATAAGAAGAGACTTCATAAGCATTCTGAGCTTTTGAAATTGATGCACTCTAAGGTTCAAATATCTCCACGGTTTAATGTTTAAGAAACATGAAGTAGAAAGAGAAAAGAGAATTTGGGGCTTTCTCATACTGTTGCATAACCTTTTCCTTCCTCTCCTTGTCAGACAGTGCCTGGGGCAAGCCTGGAGTTAAAATAGCCCACATTTTATCTTCATTCTGGAGACTTGGTCTCCACTTGTTTTTATCCTGCCAAAAGCTGTCATTTTTCTCATTTCTTTTCAAATTTGTTATAGTAATTAGTTTTCCTCTTGTAATTTAAATATGTTTATATAAATATTTCCGAATGCATTTATAGTATTTAGGCAAAATAACTGAGATCAGGAAAGTGAATTAATTCAGACTTAAGAAAATAATATTTTCTACCAATAAGAGAATGTTAAAGTTGATAATTCTGATGTTATCAAAATGTATTATTAGTAATCCTTAAACGCAGGCAAAATGATGCTCAAAGGGGAAAAGCTGATGATAATTTTGTATAAGGAGCTGTTACTAAGAGATTTGATCATTAATGTAGGTGACTAAAATTGGCTTATACCTTGAACAATCAGCTTCCCTTTGCTCCGTGATGTTTTTTTTAACTTTAGAAGCTGTATTTCTAGGTAGAAGGAACCACCTTGGAAGTAACAGACTATAAAAAATAAATAAGCAGTCTTTTTGCAATGTCTAAGACAACTATTTTCACTGACGCAAATTACATCTCATAAATGTTATCTATGTTTAGTGGGAAAGGAAACTTTAATGAACATAAATACTGGAAATAGGGAAAATAGCTTTTTTCATAAAATGTCTTTTCTACTTACTTTTTTCCCATTTTTACAGTTTATAGACATGTATACATATATTTTACCTACTTGTGTATGCACATGCATGTAACATTTGTACTCATGTATCTCTATCTCTGAAGATAATACATTTTTCATCATAGAAATTCTTCATACACACAAAAATCAAATAAGGTAAACAAATAGATTTTACGCTATCAGGAAGTCTTAAGACAAACTGTGAAGATTTGAAAAGGAACCAAAGTAGGAGAATCTGTCTAGACAAATCAGCTAAAATGAAAGAGTCCAGAAATGCTTTATACAGTTATTTTCCCTGAAATACTAAAAAATTACTGATTTTTCCAGATCTAAAAAAGTCTTTAATTTTGTTCCAGCATTTGAGCCTGAGATGGTATAAGAATAATTGTATTTCTTCCAAAATAGAAAATATACTCGTTCATCTTTTTCTGGCTTTGAAGGAATAAAAGATGCTTTTAAAAAAAGGAAGTTTGGATGCAGCCCGTTATTTTTCCTCTTAATATTTTAGATGGAAAAATTAAACGATAAATCTTTTTTTAATACAAACAATAAAGCTATTTTTTCATTGGCTTATGTGGGTGTGGGAGACAGGTTTTTTTTTTTCCACATATTTTATCTGAATTTCATTGTAGGATTTCCTATATTTACCATAATAATTCCCAAATTTCTGTAGACTGAGTGGCTTAAAAATCAGGATTTTATTTCCTCACAGCAATGAAGACAAGAAATCCAGGTTCAACACGCAGACAGGCTTAGTCTCTCTTCTTGCCTTAGAAAAGGTGTCTTCCCTGTCCTCACGTGAACTTCCCTCTGTGACTGAGAAATAGTCTGCGTTTTACAATTTTAAAGAGCATTAACCATCCTGCATTAGGGTTTGTAATGTAACTTCATTTAACCTTAATTTCATCTTTACAGACCCTAACCTCAGACATATTCATATTAGAAGGAAAAGCACTTCATCATATGAGCTTTGGGGAGACACAGTTCAACTTTTAATATCAACCTTTTTTTTTGTACTTGGGATCAAACTCATGACCTCACGCTTGCCCATGCAGGCACTTAAGCCACTGAGCTAAACCCTGTCCTTACCATGGCATTTTTTCTGTCATATAATTTTTTTTTTTTTGGTACCGGGAATTGAGCTCACAACTTTGCACTTGCAAGGCAGACGCTTGTGCCCCTGAGCTAAATCCCTGGTTCTATCATATAATTTTATTTCCAAATTCAAATTTTTAATGCCTGTAAACAATGCTAACTTCAATATTTTAATGCTCATATTTATGTTTGTGTAGTATTTTGTGTATGCAACTCTTCCCATCCATCAAAACCTAAACTATAAAACAAAGATTAAAATATAGCTTATACATACCTTCAGTATTGAAGTGTGTATTGAATATGTGTGTAGGTACTGTATTATTTGTGTGTTTCCTTGCTTAAAATTTCTCAGTAACTGCCTTCTGCAATATTCATTGACATCCTTTGCAATTCTTCTCTAACAATTGCTTACTTAAAAATTCATGCTACAGCTTATCTAAAACTTTCACCTTTGGGCTGGAAAGCTGCTTTTCTCCTATATGGATATTGCAAACTTCTCAGAACGGGGTTACACAATTTTACATTTCAGCTGATAAAGTCCTATACTAAGCAAGGTGAGTAGAGGAAAGAAATAAATCTTAGTTTCTCTAAACTGCATACTGTTTTCAGCATGAATTTCAGCAGAATGATTATTTATCCACACATCATTGCCCTGGGTAGTACTCTGCATGGTATTTTTCAGAGAGAAGGTTCAAATGTTTCAAAAACACCTAATACTTATAAAATAGAGGTGACGAATGTATGCAGTTGTTCTCCAGACATTTTGTGCACAGCAGTGTAAATTTGGGGTAATCAAATCAGGAAACATAGCCATAAAGCAATTTCTTCAGACTTAACATTCACAATGAAAGTAATATATTCCTGAATTCAACAGTATGTGTGTGTGTGTGTGTGTGTGTGTGTGTGTGTGTGTGTGTGTGTGATCGAGGGCTGCTGCTAGTTAGCTGAATTGTGGTTATCATATCGGGAATCGACTGAAGACTGATATCAAAGATGAAGGCAGCCCTCTGGAAGATGAGACCTACATTCAATTGAATCAGAGAAACCTATAATAAGTAAGATAAAATAGAATATGTTTTACTTAACTCAGAAATACTTCATTCTAGCTTCCTGCTGTATATTTTTAAGCGCTTGTGATTATGGATAAAAATTAAAATGTACATTTTATTTCTGCTTTTATTTATGTTTTTAGGCTTAAAGGACAGTAACAAGAGAAAGATATATAATTGCCTAATTTTTTCAGGTATTTAGACTGCTTCCTGAGGTTAGGTGACAATTGGGACAGAACTAGTTTTATATTTTATTCATATACATCAGTATAATAGAATCCTAAATGCAGCATATTCCAAAGAAAGTTTCCCCAGGAAGCCTCTACCTTGTTTTCTTGCCAAACTAAAGGTGGCTATGCTCTGAAAGATTCCAAATGTGCCGAGAATTTAAAAGCGCATGGTTTTCAGCACTGCATTCAAAGAGCCTGATGCAGCAGAATTCAGTATAGGTCTATTTTCATATAGGTCTGATCTTGCATTGAATTAAACAACTTAACCATCAGTTTATTGAAAAATCTGTTCACATATGCATTTTTAAAAAATGTATGTTTCTTATTTGCTTGTATGTATGTAACTTATTTGTTTTATTTAGTAGAAAAACATTTTAACAGGAGAAAAGGCAGCTTAGTCGAAAATGTATGGAAGTCTCAAATGCAAGTGCAAAGCTAGTAAGAGACTTCATGGGAACTGGAATGTTACGTCTTTTATCCTTTCCCAGGGCCAGCTGGTTTTGAGCTCTGCTTTTTTTACTGTTTCATTTTATTCTTTCTGCAAACCACCTACTGTCCTCACTCATTTCCTCCTGTGGAACTAGGGACAGTCTGTCCCCAGATGATAGCCTTACTTGAAGATTCTACTCTTACAGAGTTTCACAATTACATATCAAAATTTCTGTATCTCATTTCCAAAATATCATTGCAATGAATCCAATGATCTGCTTGTCTAAGGTTTCTAGCCCTGGATAATTCAGCTCAAATCAATTAATTAGGCCAGGCCTGAGTATCAATGCATGGACAGAAAGGACAAACAGAAATTTTTAGTGCCTGTTCACAAACATTTAAAATTGTCTTAATTGGAAATAGGTAAATTATATGAATGAAACTCATCTTGAAAAGTTAATAATGTTCAATGTATTTGTGTTTTTAATTTTATTGGTTGAATACTGTAGGAGAAACACAATGATAATTTGATTAGTTCCAAAAGAAACTTGATATAATTTATTCAAACCACAAATGTTTATTGATCATTTAATATTTACCACACAACGAGGCAGGAAACAAAAACAAGAAAAGGTGAGAAAGTTTAAGTAAAGTATGTATTAACTTTTGATGAAAAATTAAATTACAAAGAGATGATATCAGTATATCAACTGGAGTTTGATAGCTGGGGCCAATGTTAGTTTACGAACTGTAATATAGTTTATGAAATGTAACATGCACTTTATGAATAGTTTATGAAATGTAACATATGCAATTCTAAAGAATTATTTATTTCTATCATCAGTTTATCTTTCTTACTAAAACTATGTATGAGTTTCAAAGAAGGATCAAAATAAATATGTTGCATTATGTTTTAGTCTAGTATCACAATTTTATCAATGTATCCATTTGCTAAACATTTAAATAAGAATATTACTCTAGGATTATTTTTCCTTTCTATTTATAACAACTTCAAATGAGTTACTTGAGCAGATTAGAATTTTTGCTCATTGCTGCTATAAACATGGATGTGCATTATCAATACTGTGTATGATTTTAATTCTTTTTGGAAGACAGCAAGAAAGGAAATACTGGCTCAAATTGATCTGCTACTCTTAGTTCTTTGAAGAATTTCCAAGACGTTGTCCACAGTGGTTGCACCAGTCTACGCTCTTGTCAACAGTGGAGAAGAGTTCCTTTTCCTCACAGTCTCAGCAGCATTTGTTATTGGTTGATTTTTTTTTTTTTTGATGATAGCCATTCCTCCTAGCGTGACATGGAATCTCTACTTTGCTTTAATTTGCATCTCTGAAACAGCCTGTGATGCTGAATGTATTTTCATATATTTATTTACTGTTTGTGTTTCTTTATCCGAGAAATATGTATCCACAATTGCCCATTTTTGGATTGTGTCTTTAAATTTGGGGTGTCTGATTTATTTCAATTCTTTCTGTATTTTTGATGTCTTTTAAAGAACAATTGGCTCTGATTTTTTTTTCCAGTCTGTGGATTGTCTTTGCCCTCCGTTGATTTTTTTCTGTGCAAAAGTTTTTTAATAAAATAAAATAAAGTTGTTGATTATTTGTAATGTTTCCCATGCAATTGGAGTTTTGTTCATGAAGTCTTTGCCTACACCTGTCTTCAAAATTTTTGCCCATTCTCTCTGCCAGCAGATTTAGTATTTCTGTTTTAATGATCCATTTTGATTTTAGTTTAGTGCATAGCAATAGACACAGGGCTGGTTTGGTTTTTTAGCTTGTTTGTCCAACACCATTTGTTATAGAGGCTTTATTACATGGTAAACATGTTTTGCTTCTTTTCAAATGTAAGATGGCTGACTGTGTCTGAACTTGTTTCTGCCTCTGCTAATCTGTTCCACTGTTCAGTTCTGTTTTGTTGTTGTTGTTATTGTTTTTTGTTAAACTTTTTGCCAGTACCATGCTGTTTTTAATCACAGTAACTTTGTAGTATAATTTTACGTCTGGGGTTGTGATATCTCTGCTTTGCCTTTGGTGCCCAGAATTGATTTTGCTATTCTAAGTCTCTTTTGGTTTCAAATGAATTTTAGGTTTGTTTTCTCTAATTCTTTGAGATATGCTGGTGGTATTTTGATTGGGATTGCGTTCAATCTGTATAATGCATTAGTTAAATTTGAATTATATGCTAAATTTAATTTAAAATCACTTCGAATAAAGCCACCATACTTACTGTATGCACTTTTGGTTATTGTTTAAGGTTTCCACTTTTCAAACTTCTGAATTTTATATTTAATATGCATTTTACCAACATGGGAAGTAGTATATTTCTCTTTCACTAGAATTTTTAAAATTTATACTATTTCCAATTGGTGCCCTTTCAAAGGAAGTTTTAAATTTTATTAAAATAATTATGGTGTGCTATGGGAAAGTGAAGAAAGACAATGCAGCCTCCTTCTTTAAAAAAAAATACCTCTGCAGGTTAGCTTTATTCAGATTCAGTAGCAATTTGCATAGTAAGATATCAATAGAAATGAATCAAAAGTTATCCTATGTATTCTTCAAGTTATTGTAATATCTGAAAATATTTTAAGACTTGATACTGACTTGTAAACATTTCACCAGTCATGGACATGTCAATTTACTAATATATGTGTCTTCAATTTGAGCATTAGTTCTTAACTGGCAATATCTTAGGGGAAAAAGTTACTGTAATTCTGTTGAGAAAAAAAGATCTATCTTGAATATGATAATAAGTACACATGATTAAAAAATCAGTTCTAAAATTTGTCAGATATGAATTTTCAAAATCCATCATTGCTTACAGAGACACTCAACATGTCACAGGTTACTGACATCAAATTAGCAACTTAAAGATTTAGCTTTGAAAAATAACATTATGCAAACCTAAAATAGTGACTTATTTTAGAGTTTAAAATGATATAATATAAACCATAAAATGTTAAGCTATGGAAATATTGTATCACTCTGAAAAGATGTCATTTAAAAAGTATTCACATGGGGATAAAGCTGGAAATGTAACCTGGAATAAGAATAACTTCAAAGCCAACAGAGATTTTAAGAAAGGTTATATTGCATATACAGTTTGGAATACAAAGCGTTTGTGGAAAAGGAATACTGTTTTTGAACTTGCCTGACTTTCAATTTAAAGTGATTCAATTGTTCTCTAAGCACTAATTGTACTGTTTGTTTACTTTGAATGGAATTAAATGAAATTAAGTTTAAAATCATATATAAATAAATTTTATATGAATTTGGAAAAAAAAATATATATATACTCCAACACAGGTCAGGATCAAGTAGATTTCCTAATAATGAGGTTGAACTGTCCTGTGAGCCCATACATTCTTTCAATATAACATGCACTCAGACACTTGAGACCAAGACTTTATTGGTTATTCTACAAAAGGAAACAATTTTTTTTTAAAGATGAAACACATGACCTTACAATGCAAGAAGAAAAGAAAATTTCTCAGGCTTTAATCAGTCTCAAATGCAGTCTGACCTTTGTTGTAAGTGAAACTACTTTCTTCTCTTTAATAGATTTACAGGGATATGGTAATTCTTTTTTTATGATGCTACATTGAAAGAATGACAAGAAGAGAAAAAGCTCTAATCACAAAACAAAAGTCAGATAATGGAGGGTCATGGAGTTTATAAAGCATCTTGGTAGTTTCCATAGTGATTTCACAGCACAAAAACTGTGGTATCTAATCACTACTGTGAATACAAAGATGAATCCTTAATAAAACAATCAGTTTATTAGATTTTAAGCTGACACAATTCTTTTTTAAATTTATGTTTCATTCTCTTTGTGTAGAATATTCACAGTCAGGAACTAATTAAATTAAAATTATATATCTTTCTTTGATTTTTAGTATTTATGAAATCTTTAGATTTAGAAAATTAAAACGTATTTATTATTATTATTGCTCAGGCTTTATATGTTATTTCGTATTCTATTAGCCTATAATCATTCATTTAGCCTAGTGGAAGCTTAATAATATATGTTTAAAGATTTGCTTTTTGTCATTTATTTAAGACCTCATACATTTATCAATTTTTAACTTTTAATTAAGGATTTAAGAAAAGTGGTTTGTTCAACATAATTATAAATCTGAACATTCAGTCACTTTTATCATGCCCATGTTCTAAGCTTCACGTACGAAAATGAACATGTATATTGATTTCTGTGTACTGAATCGGTATTTCATCTCTTGTGCACCATCTGGGAAGAGATTTAGAGAGGAAGAGAAAATAATTATTGCTGCTTATCTTTATATTATTGTTTTATTTATATATATTCAATGAA